ACCAAGAAAACCAATTTCGGAAATTAGGGTTTTGAACTTGAAAAATTTCATAACTTAGAATTTTTCTAAGTATGGAAATTTTCTTATTTTTTCCCAACTTTTCACAACTTTTTCACCATGATGAAATTTGATTCAAAGAAAACTTCCAACATGAAAGTTGTAGTCATCCATGAAATCTACAACTTTTCTTCACAAAGGTTTCCCAAAAGATGCTTGGATCTCAAGTTATGAATTTGTGAATAGGGGTCCATGAACTAAATAACTTAGTGAAAATTTGCCCTAATTTAGGCAGGTTTTTCACCTAGTTCCAAGAGGTATATAAAAATGAATTTCAAAGATGTATTGTAGAGAATGTTTCAAGATTTCTAAAATATCCAAGAACTCTCCAAGATCATTTGTGGTTAGGGATAATCGAAGAAGAGAAAGTGGCATTTTGTCACCTTTGTTCAAGCCATTTTCACAATGCATCAAGTTGCAAATCTGATCTTGGATGCTTGTACCTTGCATTACAGGTCCTAAACTCATTCTACACTTCATAATTAAATGCTAACTCATAAGATAAAGGCTTTATTTTTGCTTTTGGAACATTGTACAAGAGATAATTCCATTAATGGCATAAAGGGCACATTGCCATTTTCAGAAAGGTGAGCTTTTGCAACTTTATCATTCTTGAGCCTTGGAGTTGTCCCTTTGGTGCAGGCAATTTCCACAGATCTTAAGCAACTTGTACAAGCCCTTTGCAACTCACAAGCAAGCAAGGACATGTCTGTTAGCATGATCACTTCAACTTTTCTTCAAAAGCAAGAAAAGTTGCAAAAAATGCTAGAACTTGTACAACTAGTAGGAATGGACTTTGTATCCATTCTATAAATATCCATAAACTTGTCACAACTCAGAACACGAAGGCATTGCATCCAAAACTCTCCCAAAAACAAAAACATCATTTTTCTGCCCAAACATTGCAGTTCTGCAAAATCATTGCCAACTTCATTTTGGCTCGTGCGTTTTGCCTTTTAACATTTGAAATAACTTCCATATATCCTACCAAAGCTATCCAAGCCCTTGTCCTGGTTCTGTGAGCTATGTTTCAGCCATTGCCATTTTCAAATTTGGAGCTTGCAACTTGACTTGTGTAGAGACTTTTGGCTATCCACAAAGCAAGCTAGGCATTGGAATAGCTTGAAGGAACTTTAAGGAAGCTCACACGATCCTCAGGCCTCACTCAAAGTCTCCACATTGTCATATCCAAATCCAGATGAAGGAGGTATTTTTTAAATCTCTATCTCTCTATTTAGGCATCCTCAAGCCACGATTTGTGAAGAAAAAATGTAGCCCTTATCTTGGTGAAGCTGTACATATGCATACTTGTCATTTATATTAACTGTGCCATGAGAATTTGAAGCTTGAAGTTCATGAAATAATTAGGTCACGAATTAGGACTGACAAAATTCTCCCTAATCTTTGAGAGTTAGGTTACAAATTTTATATCATTGGAATCGTGAGATGAAATGCTACATGTTTTGTGTTATAAGTTTTTGTTTTTATGCAAGCAATAGCAAGTTACAGATTTGAACTCAGAACGCGCAAAGGTGAAGGAACCAAGGACAGGGACGAAGTTGTTGTGGGCTTTTTGTTGCTTCTGGCCTTTTTGGTTTTGCTTTTCACACCCCCTAACTTACTTTTGCACCCCCTAACTATTTTCTTATATTTTTGCATTTTTCTTGCATATTTTATATTTATTGCTTATATTTATTTTTTCTAATGATAAAAAATACTCAAAAATAATTTATTTATTTCCATACTTTTATTTTATTTTTTATTATTTTTTTTGGCATAAATAATAGTTTATTAGGATAATATACTTTATTTTCTTAAATAAATTGTAAATACAATTTAAAAATACTATACATTTTTATTATGTTATTTATATACATTAAATATTTATTTTTCATACATATTTAATTTTTAATATTTGTACATAATATTATTTATTACTTTCTTGTACAAAAAATGGATAAAATAAATAATAGGAAACATATATTTCTTTTAATAAAAAATTAGGGTTTCACCCTTTCAAAAATAATAATATTTTTTCTCTTATTTTTAGGGCTTAAATAAATCATTTTTCTCATACAAAAAATCAAATACAATTTTTTTTACATAAATACATTTTTATTGCATTTTAAATATTTGTACATTTATTTAATTCGCACAACATTCAATTGTGTTGTAATAGTATTTTAGGGTTTATTTTGTGCAATATCCCCATTCAAAAACTTGTATCCCCCCTCCCATAATAATTGTTGTAATAGCTTAGTTTACTTTTATGCAATTTATTGCTTTCATATACTATGTTTAGTAAACTAGGGTTTGCATGATAAGACCAAAAACAAACAAATAGAAAAGACATAATACAAGACAAATCAAATGCATATAAAATGACACACATTGCACACAAGCACCCTTAGGGTTTCACCCACTTGATTGCCTAAAATAAAAATGGCCATGTTACGCATGCGAAGTATCTTGACAAAACAAAACAAAATAAGATCATAGTCCCTCGATGACACTATCAAAAGGTTGCCTAAAACAAAATGATCTTGGTCCCTCAAAAATGCTAAGATACTTAGCAATATTGCTATCATGGTCATACGATGACCCACGCCCATCCCGTTTACATCCAAAGATAGGGTTGCTTACCAAATCAATGGTAAGTCAACAATGTCAAAGGAATAAAAATGTACAAGAAAGACATTTGAGTAGGTAGATAGCTTCTAAGTTACTTGCTCCATTTCAAAACAATCCTTGCTATTTTCAAAAACAAACACACACATTTCCAAACATCTTTAAAAACATTGAAACATTTTTCAAAAGACAAACATCTTTGTATACATTCTTACGAACGAGAATCATTACAAAGATTGCCAAAAACGAATGACCTCTTTTCAAAATACTTTCAAAACCACACCAAACACAAAGCCCCATTTCAAACAATTTCAAAAGAAAAGCAAGTGATCTAAGCAAGTAACTAAGAGCCCATGGAAAACCATGGATGAAAAGGGTGCTAGCACCTTCCCTTTTCATAATCTACCCCCCGAACTCAAGAAAATATCTCAAAGGTATTTCCTGTGCTTTTTTACCTTTCCTTTTGGATAAAATAAAAGTCGGTGGCGACTCTTGCTAAACCGCGACATTTGCGATGAAACGCAAAACCTCAAGTCAGTTCTCCCACTGTATCACAGGTGGAAGCTGGTGTTTTCTCTTTTCTGGGTATTCAAATTGGCTCAAATCCCAGGCGCTTCTCTTCGTGGGCTTCATCGGCCAACAAAATAAAGAAAAGATTGTTGTGCTGATTGGGCATATTTCTTAGCTTCGGGGGAGAATCACTCTATTCAAATCAGTTCTTTATAGATTATCAATATTCCAACTATCTTTGTATAGAGCTTCGATTTCGGTTTGCAAATAAATCATGAAAAATAATGCATATTCCTTTGGGGAAGAACAAAATAAAGAAGACGAATTCATTGGGTTAGTTGGGAAAATTTGTGCATGCCAATCGAAAAGGAAGGTTTAGGGTTGAAAAGGATCGAGGAGTTTAACAAGGTGTTGCTTTTAAAGTGGAAATGGAGAATTTTAAAAGGGGAGGTTGGTGGAAGGATGTTCTCTCGTTGGATAAAAGGAATCAAGTGGACATTTTCTCTCGTAACTGTCAGTTCAGCTTGGGCGAAGGGAGCAATGTTATGTTTTGGCAATGTAATTGGATTGATAATTGAATTTTGAAGGATGAATTTCTGGATCTTTATTTCATGTGTTCATTCGGTTCTACTTCTGTTGCCGACCTTGGTTTCTGGCAGGTGGAGGTGTGGCACTGGGGGGCTTCAAAATTTATGAATCCCATCCTTCAGGTGTTTCGGCCAGCGTGCTTGCTCTTTGGCATATTCAGGAAGCTGTAGTCTCGGCCAGGTCTGGTTTTGGCGCGTTCTCTTGGAGCTGCAATTTTGTTGCTTGTTATTCGATTAGATGCAGCTACAAAATGCTTTTAGAATTGCATGATCAATTTTCTCCCGGGCTTGTTCACGAGAAAGCGTTCAAGCTATCTTGGAAAACTTCGATTACTTTCCGTATTACGGCTTTCGGTTGGAGAATCTTGCTAGACATAATTGCTTCTAAACAATAGCTCTTCATTAGAGGTTTGTTTCAATCTCCCAACGACATCGCTTGTGTCTTATGTACTGTCGAGGTCAAAAGTTCGAATCATCTTCTTCTGTCTTGAAATTTTTCGAGGGGGTGTGGTGTAAAATTGTGGATTGGATTGCTTTTAATTGGAGATTGGAGGAGAATATGAGGGAAGTTTGTTTGCTCGAATCAACTTTTTCAAGAAGAAAAAAGTTAAAATTGGCAATGAAGGTATAGTATGGATAGGTCGTTTGTTGGACTATTTAGAAGACGAGAAACAATTTCATTTTTAAGAAAAAGCTTCGTTCAATTTCGAATATCATTTAGAATATCAAAGTCTTGAACTGGAAATGATTCTTTATTGGAGAAATTCTTTTCTTAAATATAATTTTTACGAATTTTGTAAAATCCCTTTATATTATTTAAACCCACTTTCGTTTTTGTTCGGTCGGTTGTGTATTCGGACTTGAATACCTCGAATACTCTTATATAGTATCATCTTGCCTTAAAAAAAAAACAAGATAAAGCAAGAAAAGGAGGTTAAAAAAAGGAAGTTAGTGGAAGTATTAAAAGTTTAAAAAAAATAAGAAACAAAAGAAGAGAAAGAAGGACGGTGGAGAATTGATATATCAATATGATCAAATCATTAAATAAAAACGTAACCTTAGTGAGACGAGTGTCCAATACATCATAAATTCAACCCACAACTACCACCTAACTTCGATCTACTCATATTCATACCTCATCTTATTTTCTATATAAACCCCCATCCACTAAGACATTACACTCACCAAGAAAAAGAATTAAAAAGAAAGAAAAGAAAGATGGCAAGAAGCATGAAGTTAGCATGTGTTGTTGTGGTGATGTGCATGGTTGTTATCGCGCCCATGGCAGAAGGTGCAATCTCATGTGGAGCTGTTACTGGTGATCTTGCTCCCTGCCTTACTTATCTTACAGGTGGTCCTGGTCCTTCACCACAATGCTGTGGAGGAGTCAAGAAGCTTCTTGCTGCCGCCACCACCGTGCCGGATAAACAGGCTGCCTGTAACTGCTTGAAATCAGCAGCCGCTTCTATTTCAAAACTGAATACTAACAATGCTGCTGCTCTCCCCGGCAAATGTGGTGTTAGCATTCCTTACAAGATCAGTACCTCCACCAACTGTAATTCGTATGTCTTATTCTAACTTTCACTCTCACTCTTACTTTTCTTTTGAAGCCTTTCAAATATGTAATTAATTACTCACTAGTTTTTTCATTTGTTATGTTGGCAGCATTAAGTTTTGAAGATGATGTTGCGGTTTCAAGATTATCATATGGAAGTTCTTACTAGTAAATGAAAGTTTAATATTAAGAATAATATTATAAATGAAAGTGATATATTAGGACCATCTTACATGTGGTGGGCCTATCCTCTTGTACTACATCTCTACCTTGACTGTCTTCTTATGTTGTTGTATCAATCTATATAGTGACATATTTTAATATGAGTTTCTGATTTTAAATTTCTGAATAATATCACGTTATTATATGTAAAAATGAATATTTATCACGGTATTATACTTAAAAAGAAATATTAAACACTTTTATTATTTTATGTAAATAAACATTAACGTTGTTTTAGAGAATGATTTTAAATTTTATTTTTATTAAGTAATAAAAGGGAGAAAAATTGAAATATAAATGAGATCTAAAAGTTATTCTCCATTGATTAATTAATTGGAAGGTACATAGGATCCTTTATATAAGGGGATAGTCACACTTCTCTTACATCATTTTCTAACTAACTCAAAGATAAGATCAGGAAAACTACAAAATAAAGGAAAAGCATTGAAAGTGTGATGTAGCCATCTCACGTGATAAGAAGCACACAACAAGGGAGGATGCAGATAGTTACTGTTGTACCCCAAAATTTGCCCTCCCATTTCCTCAATATTTTCTCACCACAAGACCCTTGGAGCTCAAGATCCAGTTAGGGCTTGCTCTGCTCAAGACTCCTCCTTGCACTGTTGACCCAAATTAGGGTTTGTGTTTGCACAAAGATGTTTTAACCTAAAATGCCTAAGATGACTTTCATGCTTCATATTGGACTCACAAGTTTATCCATACCAAATTTCAAGCCTTGATTCCAATCTTTGCCCAGTCAATTGGACAGTTGACCTAAAAATCAGCTGTATTGGGGAAAAGTCAACTGTGGTCAATTGACAGTCAAACCTCATGATTTTTGACCCACATCAACATATTGAACTCATATAAACCATTTGGTCAAGTTTGGATCACAATTCCACAAGAAATTTGATCAGATCACCAAAAGGGCAAAATGGTCATTTTTAGGGTTTTGACTGCACAAAGGCAATTTTTGACTGTTTGACCAAACTAATGGCAAACCAAGCTCATATATGGACTCAAGGACCCAATGGAATTGTCTTGACATGTTCAACAAATTCAAAAGATCCCAAATGCACAAGATTGACAGATGAGTTTTCCAATCAACTGAGCCAAATTTGACTGTATACTGAAAAGTCAAACTTTGACTTTTTGATCAAAATCAAGTGTCAAGATTCATTTTCCATCAAAACATGTCAAATTATGAAACTTGTTCATCAAGAAATCAAAAATCACAAATTAGGGTTTGAAATGAAGAATTTTCATAACTTAGAATTTTTCTAAGTTATGAAAATCCCTAATTTTTTCCTAACTTTGTCCCACTTTTTCATCAATATACATTTGGATTCAAGGAAAACTCAAAACATGAAAGTTGTAGTCCATTTCAAAATATACAACTTTGATTCATAAAGTTTCCTCAAAAGAAGCTTGTAGCTCAAGTTATGATTTTTGGAACAAGGGTGCAAAACATTCTTAACTTATAAAAATTTTGACCTATTCTAGGCAGGATTTTTGCCTAACTTCATGGCCACTTTTCACATTCTTCCACTTGGAATTACAACTTGCATTACAAAGATGGATTATAGTACACATTCCAAGCTTTCCAAAATGTCCAAGAACTCATCAAACACCCTTGTGGTTAAGGAGAATCGAATTTGGCAATATGGGCAAAAGTCACTTTGTTCATGAGCCATTTCCATGTTCATAACTTGTGCAATTTTTCAAATCAGCATGAGCAAGCTAGTTACAGGCCTCTAATCATTTTCTTACTCAATAATTAAATTCCAATCCATTGTGCCAAGGCATTATTTTGTGCATTTGGTCATTGTATGAAGAATTAAGCCTTAATTAGAAAAAGCACTTTATCCATTTTTTAAAAGTATGGCTTTATGTCAAGTTTGCAAATCAAGAAGTAGAATGCAAATCTTTTTGGCACAAGTTCAGGGACATAACACACTGATCAAGAGGGATTGAGGCAGCATGTTTAGGGGGCCTGCATAAGTCTAGAAACCAAGTTGACAATTTTTGCTTAAGTTAGAAGAAACATTGCATAACTTAACACATCTCACATTTCTGCCAAGAGAAACAAAAGTAAATTTGTTAAACACATTCCAAACATCAAACCTAAGAAAAAGCACGAGCTAACGACCTCCCAAACATCATCATTCATCAAAACACCATCCTACTGCAGAAAACAGAGTCCCTTCTGCAGTTGGACTTCTATAAACATTTCCACTCGTGCGCCTTGGCCAAAACAGTTCATACACACTCCATACCACCTATACAAACTATCCCAAGCATTGGACACGACCTGTAACACCTCTAACCAACTTCACCATTTTCACTTTTTCTATTTTGCAGATTGACTTCCATAGCTTGATTCATTTAGTTTCAAGGCAAGCTAAAGGTTGGAGAAGCATCCCTGAACTTCAAGCAAGCAGTACAAGTCCTCACATTGCCTTGAAAGTGCCTCCATTGCCAGTCACGATCCAAGCTGAACAGGTAAGTTCATGGACTTCTATCTCTCAATCTAGGAAGATTTAGCTTTAGGTTTATGAATGAAAAATGCTCTACTCATAGCCCTGAAGCTACACATATATTTACTTTCCATTTATATTGCATGTGCTGAGAGAATTTGGAACCTGAACATTAGAAAAAACTTAGGTTAAGAATTAGGGATGGAGAAATTCTCTCTCATTTCTGAGAGTTAGATCAAGTTCTTGGTATGTATGGAATCGTGACTTGATGCTTGACATTTTTCATGTTATAAGTTTGTGCTAAAAGTCCAGGAATCAGGATGTTTGAACAAGGTGGGAAAGGCGCGCGTTTTTGACATTTTTGTTGCTGGAGGTTGAAGACAACCTCTTTGGGCTGGGCCTGTGTTGTTTTTCCTTTTTACACCACTGCATTTCACATGCACCCCCCTGGCCCATTTTGAGTTTTATTTGTCATTTTTAACTTTTTCTTTTTGATTCTGATTTGTTATTTTTTATTAAAATATTAAAAATATTAAAAAAAAATTCTCACATTTTTACATTTTATTTGATATTTATTTGGTTTCATTTAGTTTTATATGTAAATAAATACATAATACCTTTTATTTAAAAATACAAAAAAATAATACAAACACTTTTATTTTCTGATTTTTATTTTATTTTACCTTTGAAAACATTTTATAAAAAATATACTTTTTTTTGTAAATATTAAATATTTTATTTTTGTACATATTTAATATACTTAATAAATAATATAAATACTTATATATTTATTAGTCTATTTAGGTTAAAAACATAAAAATAATACATTTTTATTTTTATTAATATTTAACTTAAAAAATCACTTTTTGACAATATGCTTTCTTTTTATTTATTTTTTTGTACATAATTAATAAATATTGCATATAATAAATAATTAATACATTTTATTTAGCAAAATTAGGGTTTTACCCTAAAACTTGAAAAATATCCAAAATTAAACCTTTTATTTTTGTTTATTTGTCACATGAAAAATACCTTTTTACATACATACAAAAAATCATTTTTTGCATCTTGCATATTTATTGTATTTAATTATTGTGCAATTAAATACCTTGTAAAAATTCAATTTGGATGTAATAGTTTAGGTTTAATTTCTTGCTAAAATATCCCCATTTGAACATTTGTACCCCCCATCCCATATTTGTATTGTAATAACTTAGGACCTTTTATTTTTCGCATTTAAAAGCTTTCTAATTATGCCATGTTAGAATTAGGGTTTTGTATGCAAATCAAAAACAACAAATAGTTTGGCCAAAATTCAAGATAAACAAGCATGAAAATGGACAACACTAATCACACTTGCACCCTTAGGGTTACTCCACTTGTTGCCTTCAATAATGGGCCATATTGCATGTTAGGTATCTTTGGCAAAAACAAAACAATTCAAATGATCATAGTCTCTCGATGACGCTTTCAAAAGTTGCCTAAAAATGATCAAGTCCCTTAAAGGAAAAATTGCCCAAAGATACTTGGCACCATTGCAATCATGGTCCAAACGATGACCCGCGCCCGTCCCGTTCACATCCTAACACAAGATTGTCCACCAAATACAATGGTGGAACAAAATTGTTAAAAGGGTTAAAACATAGCAAAGATCTTTGAGAAATTTAGGGTAGATAGCTCTTGGTTACTTGCCAACTTGCAAAACAAAAACACTTGCCTATTTTTCAAAACCACACATCACAACACTTTCAAAACGACTTTTAAAAACATTGAAAACTTTTTAAAGACTTACATCTTTGTATACATCCCAACATGGATCATTACAAAGGTTGCCACCACATTGGCCTCTTTTCAAAACATTTTCAAACCCACACACAAAGCACCATTTCAAACAATTGAAAATCAAGGCAAGTTGATCTAAGCAAGTAACTAAGAGCCCATGGATAACCATGGATAGAAAGGATGCTAATACCTTCCCTTTCTATAATCTACTCCCCGAACCCAAGAAAACATCTCAAAGGTTTTTGCTGTGCTTTTTAACCTTTCCTTAGGATAAAATAAAAAGTCGGTGGCGACTCTTGCTCAACCGAAACATTTGCGAAAACAAACGCAAAACCTCAAGTCAGTTCTCCCACCGTATCACAGAACTGGAGACTCTGCTGGGGAAAACTTTAAAGTGGAGTAACCTTAGGGCTTAGATCACCCTCTTGCATGACTAATTGTTTGCTTTGATTGCTTTACATCTTGGCTCTCTTGTTTGGGTTTGCAATCCTACACCCGGATTTGGGGAAACATTCATAGATAGCAATACGTTGTGGAAACTGTGCGGGGTATACCGACACGATTGAAGCAATAGCTATATTAGTGCGACATATTTGTGAGTACCGGTAACCCTTGAGTTCAATTAAGGAGAGTACGGGG